ACGCATCTAAATTAGCTTTCCCGTACCTATATGGATGCTTAATATTTCTCTTGGGTGTTTTTTAAGCAATAGAATATAATGGCGCTGATGGTGGGCAACAAAGAGACATTATCCATAACTTATGAACTCAATTGAGTTGTATTCTTTAACACGGACCCCAAACCAAACTCCAACGGTACTGTACCAAACTGAATATCCACTAAAGTACTAAGCCCCTACTGATTGATTGTCAAAAATTATGACCTTGCAAGACATATAACTAGGACCTTTGCTGTCCCTCCAAAACAACATAGACACCTTTACAAACCTTCAAAACCTCACATTTACCAACGAACTTGTACCGTTTTGAATCAAAAATAGTCAATGAGATAAGATTTCCTTTTAAACCTAGAACGTGTCTCATTGCATCAAGTGTTCTCATCATCCCATCCAATATCTTAAGTCTGACCTTTTCAGTGCCAGTTACTTTACAGGATGTGTTGTTGTCTATAACTCAACACATTTTGAAACAAGATATGTTGAAAACAAATACGAATCAGGATATATATAAAAAGTGCAAGCTATATCAAGAATTTAATCCTTGTAAGGTTTGGAGTTGTCGTAAAAAATGACCAAAAGTTTTCCGTTACTCAAACAGTTCTCTACGACATCTACTTCACCTGAAGTTTCTAGTTGTCTTCCCTTTTGATTTGTACTCAACTTTTCTTTATTTGTAATTTGTTGCAATCCTTTTTAATGTGCCCATTCTTCTTGCAATAGTTACAAATTTGATTTCTGATGTTAGATTTCGATCTACCCCTCTCATAACCATCATGAATAATAACGCCTTCTCCTTGAGCCTCAAATCTAAGAAAATGATTCAGCTCGTCCTTAAAAAACAAAGCATCATATATTTCTTCAACGTTGAGAGCATCACGGCTATATAATATCGTATCTCTAAATGACATATATGAAACAGACACCGAATACAATAAAATCAAACACGAATCCTCTTCATTATACTTAGCCTACAAGGTTTTCAAATCATCGACAATTTCTTTAAAGATAGCAAGGTGATTTTCTATGGATGTATCATCTGCCATGCGACGAGAATGCAAATGCTACTTTAGGTGCAATTTTCTAGTTAGACTCTTAGTCATGCACAATTACTCAAATTTCAACTATAATGTAGTTATAGTTTTCTCCTTCAAAATGTCGTGAAGAATATGATTTGAAAATGAAGATAAATCTATGGGCATTTCCATTCCTACATTGTTTTTTCTCTAACATCCAAGTTGTGGGCATCTTGTTAAATTCCAATAATGCATCATCCAAATCTATCTGAGTGAGCATAATTTTAAGTTTGACATCATGAATGAGATTGGTTGAGGTGATACTTTGAACCATTGATTTTTACAAACACTTATTCAAATCAATGGCACAATTTTTCACATATCACGCAACATTATCCATAATATCATTCAAAAGTGTACAATTAGCATGATTCATATTCAGCAGCCGTATTCTTAAATAATCATTTTTTTCTACTCTCCTCTTTCTATTACAAAAGTTCTACCTATTTTTTCAATTTAAATAACAGCAAAAAGTGGCTTGATCCTTTGTTTTCATTCCAATACCAAACAAATATAGAAATGAAAAAATTATTCACATAGAACAATGTAAAAAACCTACATAAGTAAAGAATCAATTGATACATATTATTATTTAAGTAACAAGCGAAAAATCATCAAAATTACTATAAACAATAAATTTATGGATCTAAAATATACATCAAGGGCACAATAAGAAAAAATAACACATTCTAATCAAATTTGAAGCATATATACATAAATTTAAAAAAAAATACAATATAAACAAATTTCATTTTTTTGGGTTTAGAATTTTATTAATGTTCACATTCATATAAAGAAGATAGACAATTACTCTTTGAGATTCATAGTTATGATGTCTAACAATTGGAGTGGCTGGAATATTCACCTCCTGACTGTTGGAGATTGATCGCAATAGAATCATCACAAGAGAAGTAAAGAGGGATTAACCAGAAAATTAAAACAATTTTTTAAAGCAAAATATTATACTTCCCATGCCTAAACTCCAATTATATCTTCAAGCTTTTCTCCACATCAATAATGATGCTAGTGGAGAAAATACCTACTCTAAAGCGTGGAGCTGACTACTCTCTACCACTATTTAATTAACTGTTTATTATTTAATCACATATAGATCCCCAATTAAATGGTGAGTCCAAACTATTTAATGCTCTTGTCAATAAAACAGTGATAAAGAATATTGAGTACTTTATACTAGAAAATTTTCTCTTCTAGTTTGGTTTGGGGATTAAAGTGGGGGGAGGTAATTTTTTATATTGTTTTTGTTTGTTTTTTTAAAATTAAAGGGCAAGATTATGTTTATACATAACTTTCCTACATATATAAAAGAGTGAAAGAATTCCAGGACATGTGTCAAAAAAATGTGTCGTCCTTCACTAATTTTTTTTACGGTTCTCTTTTCAATACCCATTCCTTCATTTTCACACTCAACCAACCACTCCTTCATTTCCCACGCAACCTTGTGCAAACTCCTCTTTATTTCTTCTTCTTCTTTGTTTCTTTTGTATTTCTCTCTCCATGACTCTCGCTACTATAAGTTTGCCATAAAACTGAAAAGCATCATCTTCAATCTTGTGTATGTATTCTTCTTCTTCTTTTTCTTCGTCTTTTTTTTTTAAAGTGATTTGAATATACGAAGTGGGTGTATTTTTTTTTTTTTTTTTTTTTTTTTTTTTAAAGTGATTTGAATATACGAAGTGGGTGTTATTTTTTTCGCTCCTTTTTTTATTTATAATTAGTTGTTTGAAAAAATGGGCAGCTCTAAATTTTTGAATTCTAATGCTTTGTAAGTGTATGAGTATATATGTCAACAGTTTTAGCCGTGGGTCATGTTCACATTTAAGCTTTTATTTTTTATGAATTATTATTTTGAGCATCTGTGTCCCTAAATTTTTGAATTTTGAAGGGTGTTTCGAGCTTTTTTTTTTTTTTTTTTTTTTTTTTTATCCGTTTTTGATTTATAATTAGATGTTTGAAAAAATGGACAACTCTAAATTTTTGGATTCTAATGCTCTGTAAGTGTATGGGTATGTATGTCAACAGTTTTAGCTATGGGTCATGCTCGCATTTAAGCTTTTATTTTTTATGAATTATTATTTTGAGCATCTGTGTTCCTAAATTTTTGAATTTTGAAGGGTGTTTAGAGTGTAAATAAGGGTTCTAAGGAGCATAACAAAGGATCCACCAAAGACCCATTTGAGTGAGTTTACCAGACATATAATTATATGTTTCTTTTGTGCATAATGAATTGGTCGATTTTTTGTTAATTCGATGTTTATAAGCACTTTTTTGTGGTGTGCATGCACGCACCTTCACTTTTGATTTCAATTGTATTCCATAATAATAGAATTCATAAATTAAAAAAAAAAATAAAATTATACCTTCCAAGGGTTTAGATGTTGAAGGGGGATTTTGAGCTTAGAATATCATTACATTTTTTAAGATTAACTTTCCGCACGGGGAATAAGGTTGTTTATGCTGAGAGCCATCAACTATACAAATGGAGATAAAAGTGGGAACAATGAACTGAATGAACTATATGGTTGGTGACTGTAATCTAAGAAATGAGTAAATAACCAATTGTTCTCAAGGGACAAAAAAAAATGTCTTACATGTTTACTAAAAACTCATATCAAGTGGTTAGATTTAACTTAATCCATGCCATGTATCTGGTATACTGTACTCAATAACTTATTACCTCAGATTAACTCTATTATTATTATTATTATTATTATTATTTTTTTTTTTATTGCAACACTAGGTTTGTTATGGACTCTGGTAACATCAGCTTTTTGATTGTTCTCATACCAATTAGATAAGATGTAAACACGGGATGGTAACCAGCTTGCCATAATTGAATGCAAGTGATATTTCTAGGACCATAAGTAATTTACTTAAATTGTTATATAATTGCTTTGGGGATGTTTTTCTTTGTCATTAGTTGTAAAGAGAAAGATTGTTCAAGTAATTCACTTAAATGGTCACATAGTTTTCGTCCTGGAATTGTAAAGAACTAATGAGTTGCCATGGATTTTTGAATTAAATTGTTTAATTATGATGGCTAAAGTAATCCAGGCTTAAAACAAGTACTTGTTTATGCTTCACAATGTTTCTATGTTTTCCAACCTAAACAATTTTGACATAGACTAGGGAAAAAATTTAACTGCTTCTAAAAACCATGCCAATTAATATTTTAGCCATTAAATGAAGGTTAAGTTGGGAAAAAAAGAGACATAAAAGGATATATGATGCTTTCCTATGATTAATATGTTCGAGTTAGATACTCATTTCTTTTTCTGAAAAGGAGCATGGAGCTTTGGGATCTAGCTATAAAAGATGTTTCTTTTGTGCATAATGAATTGGTCGATTTTTTGTTAATTCGATGTTTATAAGCACTTTTTTGTGGTGTGCATGCACGCACTTTCACTTTTGATTTCAATTGTATTCCATAATAATAGAATTCATAAATTAAAAAAAAATATTATACCTTCCAAGGGTTTAGGTGTTGAAGGGGGATTTTGAGCTTAAAATATCATTATATTTTTTAAGATTAACTTTCCGCACGGGGGAATAAGGTTGTTTATGCTGAGAGCCATCAACTATACAAATGGAGATAAAAGTGGGAACAATGAACTGAATGAACTATATGGTTGGTGACTGTAATCTAAGAAATGAGTAAATAACCAATTGTTCTCAAGGGACAAAAGAAAAACGTCTTACATGTTTACTAAAAAATCATATCAAGTGGTTAGATTTAACTTGATCCATGCCATGTATCTGGTATACTGTACTTAATAACTTATTACCTCAGATTAACTCTATTATTATTTTTTTTGTTGCAACACTAGGTTCGTTATGGACTCTAGTGACATCAGCTTTTTGATTGTTCCCATACCAATTAGATAAGATGTAAACACTGGATGGTAACCAGCTTGCCATAATTGAATGCAAGTGATTTTTCTGGGCCCATAAGTAATTTACTTAAATTGTTATATAATTGCTTTGGGGGTGTTTTTCTTTGTCATTAGTTGTAAAGAGAAAGATTGTTCAAGTAATTCACTTAAATGGTCACATAGTTTTCGTCCTAGAATTGTAAAGAACTAATGAGTTGCCATGGATTTCTGAATTAAATTTTTTAATTATGATGGCTGAAGTAATCCAGGCTTAAAACAAGTACTTGGTTATGCTTCACAATGTTTCTATGTTTTCCAACCTAAACAATTTTGACATAGACTAGGGAAAAAATTTAACTGCTTCTAAAAACCATGCCAATTAATATTTTAGCCATTAAATGAAGGTTATGTTGGGAAAAAAAGAGACATAAAAGGATATATGATGCTTTCCTATGATTAATATGTTCGAGTTAGATACTCATTTCTTTTTCTGAAAAGGAGCATGGAGCTTTGGGATCTAGCTATAAAAGCTACTCAGAAATGGAGCTTCCTCCACTGGATGTTGTCTTTGTTCATGGTCTGTGTGGGGGTCCCTTCAAAAATTAGCAGTTATCTGAGGACAAGTCATCAACAAAGTCTGGCCTTGTAGAGAAGATTGATGAAGAGGCAAGGAAACAAGGAACATTTTGGCCTAGGAGTGACTTTCAGCTGACTTTTCTCATACTTGCTTGTTTGGTCTCAAATACAAGATTAGTATAGTTTGGTCTCTGCTATTATAGAACATTGCATAACACTATACATCTCTTGATTTAATAATTTAGCATTTGACTTTATCTGCTTCCATTTGAATTTGGAAGCAGATTTCAAGTTTAATTTCTGATATATGAATTAAGAGGTCTTTCAGTAGATTTTTTCTTTTCTTTTCTCATGTTTTCACTTGTGATTTACTGTTCAACGCAGACAATGTCTCAACATTTTTTTTTTTTTTTTTTTTTTGAAAGTCTACATAGTTTATTATAATATATCAATAGATTTGCAGCTCTTGAATGTATTTCCATAAAAACCATTATTTGCAGAGTGCACCACTATATATTTTCAAATGATGTTTTAAGCTTGTTGATTAAATTTTCGATTTTAGTAGTGGTCCTTAATTATTATCCATTATTAAGTTTACGTTGTTAACCGAGGGAGTAGTGTAGATTATAGTTGTTTTAGATAGTTCACCAGGAGTATATATAGGAATAGGACCTCATGCTGCTCTCTTTTCTATTCTTGTTTCCATTTTTGGTCAGTTTGGCAGCAAACTTGGTTTATTTTTACGGACAGTCTAGTTTTGGAGTTCCAATTTTAGTTTCTTTTCTGGGCAGCTAGCAGCTCCTGGTGAGTTATTTTTAGATTTAAAATACATTCGAGTTCTGTTTGGCACGATTTTGGTGTTGTTTTAAGTTTTCTTGCTGGTCATTACGTCTTGCTGGGGGGATTTCTTGCTAGTCATCCACGGAGGAACACACTCCGTGTTACAGAGTGAACACACTCTATACATACTCCGTGACACAGAGTGAACCACTCCGCGTGACACAAGTGTTCTTTCCGTGCCACCGAGTGAACACACTCTATGCACACTCGGAGAGTTCACTCTGTGCTGTGTAAAGCGTTCTCTTTGTATAGAGCACATTTTTTTTGGAGAATTTTTGCTAAGAGCTCCAATTTCCTGGCGTTTGGAGAAATTTTGAGATTGTCCATTTTTATTAAAATTTTAATCAAATTTGATTGAAAACACTAAAATTTCATAAAAAACGTGGTTGCTAAAGTGGGGTTAATTTTGGGCAAATTCTTTCATTTAAACCTTTATTTATGTGTTATTTCCTTTTTTAGTAAGTTTTGTTTTGGTTATATTTTGATAAATTTAATTCGGATTTGAATTCTGTTTGTTGGAGTACGACTCTCAATTTTAGTCATTATATTGATTTTTCCATTTTTTAAAAAAAAAAAATTTCATCTCAAACAAAAGTAATGAGTGAATATAAAACTGTGGCAAATTTTTTTTGTTCATCATAGATAATCTCTAAATAAACCAATTTCTGACCATCCACATTCATCGCCAAAAAACCATATGTGTTATTTCCTTTTTTAGTAAGTTTTGTTTTGGTTATATTTTGATAAATTTAATTCGGATTTGAATTCTGTTTGTTGGAGTATAATCCATAAATTACGACTCTCAATTTTAGTCATTATATTGATTTTTCCATTTTTTAAAAAAAAAAATTTCATCTCAAACAAAAGTAATGAGTGAATATAAAACTGTGGCAAATTTTTTTTGTTCATCATAGATAATCTCTAAATAAACCAATTTCTGACCATCCACATTCATCGCCAAAAAACCATGGGAATCAAACCCAGTATTTCAATAAAAAAGACCAAAAATTTAGCTTATAATTTCAACGAATTCCTGCAATCAAATAACAAAAAATCACAAAAAGTAGATCTAAAATAAACTATTAAAATTTATTAAATAAAATATTTTCAAAATTTCAAAGTAAACCCGTTTTGCACTTTCATGTTTTGAGAAACAGTTTTTCAAAATGACAAAAAGAACGTATTTCAGCAATTTTAAAACACAAAACACCAAATGAATTCAAAACTCAAAACTACAAAATTGAAATATGAAGAAAACATCCCCTTAGTTTCTTTTGTTTATTAGTATTGGAGTGGATGAAGTGAAGTGATGCGTGAAAATGGAGAAATATTGTAGTGTAGGTGATGGTTGCAACGAACTGGCTTATGAAAATGGAGAAATGATTGAAAACAACACTACGACTTTTTTGCACCCACGATGCAAAAAAAAAATAAATAAATAAAAAGTTTTTCAAAATGACAAAAAGAACGTATTTCAGCAATTTTAAAACACAAAACACCAAATGAATTCAAAACTCAAAACTACAAAACTGAAATATGAAGAAAACATCCCCTTAGTTTCTTTTGTTTATTAGTATTGGAGTGGATGAAGTGAAGTGATGTGTGAAAATGGAGAAATATTGTAGTGTAGGTGATGGTTGCAACGAACTGGCTTATGAAAATGGAGAAATGATTGAAAACAACACTACGACTTTTTTGCACCCACGATGCAAAAAAAAAAAAAATAAATAAATAAAAATAAAAATTGAAATTCTTTTCTCTTTATGATAAAACTCATTTTTTTCAATTTTAATTAAATAATATATCTATATTCTTTATTTAATTTTCATAACTTTCTTTTGTTTAATTTCTTTTGTTTTTATTATTTTTTTTCGAAAATTGCTTTAAAATTTCTTTTTTTTTTTCACGTTATAAATAATTTTTTGTTCGATTTAAAATTCTTTTTAATTGAACTTTGAAAAGTTTGAATATGTTTTCTTCCTTTATGTTTATGCCCATGTCCACATTATTTTCTAATCTTTAATTATATTTTTGCAATCTTACAAAATCAGGTCTTTGGAAGAGGGTTGATACATGAAATTGTATTTAACATTTTAAGTCATAATTTATGATTTTGCATGGTGCCTGTCAACATGAAAAACTATTTTTAATACAATAGTGTAGATATTGTTATATTGCATATTTTGGTGATATTTAACTATTATAATCATAGTATTGGATTAGGCGTAAAACTTGAGTGGGCTAAATCATATTTTAGGTTGAGCTAATATATTTAGAGAAGTATATTCAAAAAAAATTTTCCACAAACTTTTTTAAAGGGAAATGCCTGGTACAAATATATGTAAATTCTCACATGTTCATATAAAAAATAAAAAATATACAAAAAAAATTGATGAAAATTAAGTCAATTTCAACGAATTTATGAATACATGTCAAATTTATAAAAGAATTTTTCTAAATTTTACACGCGCTTATTTTAAACATTAACCGCACGTTCATTCACTAGTAATAGAAAAAGCTTGACAAAAACTATTAGTAGGAATGTAATTTGCTATTTAATAAACGGTTGTAAATGATATGTCATGTTAAGGTTTAATGGGGTAAAATTATGACAAAGTGAAAAGGTTAGGGGATCTATAATGTGATTTACCCTCATTTAATCTCTAATAAATAATAATAGAACTTCTCTCAGTGCAATTTTATGAAACTAGTTAGGTTTAGTTTTTCAAAGGAGTTAGTGTCTAATAACTTGAGTTGATACATATTTTAGTGACACTCTCCGATGATCAACCCTACATTCATTGTTATAATCAATAGTTTAAATTGTTGATTTGAAAGTTTTAAGTCATAATTTATGATTTTGCATGGTGCCTGTCAACATGAAAAACTATTTTTAATACAATAGTGTAGATATTGTTATATTGTATATTTTGGTGATATTTAACTATTATAATCATAGTATTGGATTAGGGGTAAAACTTGAGTGGGCTAAATCATATTTTAAGTTGAGCTAATATATTTAGAGAAATATATTCAAAAAAAATTTTCCACAAACTTTTTTAAAGGGAAATGCCTGGTACAAATATATGTAAATTCTCACATGTTCATATAAAAAATAAAAAATATACAAAAAAAATTGATGAAAATTAAGTCAATTTCAACGAATCTATGAATACATATCAAATTTATAAAAGAATTTTTCTAAATTTTACATGCGCTTATTTTAAACATTAACCGCACGTTCATTCACTAGTAATAGAAAAAGCTTGACAAAAACTATTAGTAGGAATGTAATTTGCTATTTAATGAACGGTTGTAAATGATATGTCATGTTAAGGTTTAATGGGGTAAAATTATGACAAAGTGAAAAGGTTAGGGGATCTATAATGTGATTTACCCTCATTTATTCTCTATTTATTCTCTAATAAATAATAATAGAACTTCTCTCAGTGCAATTTTATGAAACTAGTTAGGTTTAGTTTTTCAAAGGAGTTAGTGTCTAATAACTTGAGGTGATACATATTTTAGTGACACTCTCCGATGATCAACCCTACATTCATTGTTATAATCAATAGTTTAAATTGTTGATTTGAAAGTTCTCATTGAATGATTATAATACTATTAGAAAATCGTAATTCTTGATAAATGGGGGAACGATATTGCCCCTTTTGCTCAAAAACAATAAGATATCAAAGTGTATGATGATTCATTACGTATATGAATAATGATAGAAATTTTTGATAATATAGATTCTTATTTCTTAATGACATTCAATAATCAAGACAATTGGTTAAATCGCATGACACAATTTCAGGAAGTTCATTAATATATATCTTCTTTATATGAAAAAGATCTATTTGAATAATCCTCATTAATTGCTCATTGAATGATTATAATACTATTAGAAAATCGTAATTCTTGATAAATGGGGGAACGATATTGCCCCTTTTGCTCAAAAACAATAAGATATCAAAGTGTATGATGATTCATTACGTATATGAATAATGATAGAAATTTTTAATAATATAGATTCTTATTTCTTAATGACATTCAATAATCAAGACAATTGATTAAATCGCATGACACAATTTCAGGAAGTTCATTAATATATATCTTCTTTATATGAAAAAAAATCTATTTGAATAATCCTCATTAATTATGCATCTATTCCCTTTTTATGAAAAAGAAATGCCCGTATCATGACATTTCTCAATTTACGACGATGTAGATGGTTTCATCATTGGGGTTAATTGCAACTATACAAATATGGAATACTAATCTGCTATTAAAAAAATAGGTTAAGGACCAACATTATAATTTTACAGAAGCATGTATACTTGGATTGATGACGAGAAAACTATGACCGAGTAGCGGGGAAAATGGCAGGAAAATCTATCACTTTACGCTACCCTCAATTCCAAATCAAATCCATCCCAGACTCCAAATTAAGCCGGCCGTTCTTTGTTCAGCCTCAGCCCCTACGTCAAATCTGCATAAAACTGACAAAATTCAACACCCAACGTTGCGTTTTTATTCATACTCGAAAAAGTATATTTTGTTTTCATTATTCGATTCAAATAAAAGAGTCTCTGAAAACATCGCCTCTATTAATGATGATGAATTTGATGACTCAATTATGACATGGGTGGTTATAATATAGTTGGGTCAGAATGATCATTATCGCTGTTTTTCTTAAAACCCTCCAAAAATCTCAGCTTTTGATCACCGTTTCGCTCGCTCATGGATCCTGCCACGTCTCGTCCCGCTGTAGTTATCGATAATGGCACGGGGTATTTTGCAAAGATCGTTTTTTAAATAGTGATTAAACTGTTTGATGAAATTCCCAAAAGACATAAGCTTTGTAATTTTTTGAATTTTTTTTGCCGTTCTTGTTTATAACCAGGTATACTAAAATAGGTTTTGCTGGAAATGTTGAGCCTTGTTTCATAGTCCCAACTGTAGTTGCTGCGAACCAGTCATTTGTCAACCAGCCTCGAGTTAGTTCTACGAAGAGCAGCTATTTTTCAGCGCAGTATAATGCCGGTGTGATGGCAGATCTTGATTTTTATATAGGGGAAGAGGCATTCTCTAGATCAAAGTCGAATAACAATTACAATTTGAGATATCCCATTAAGCATGGCCAAGTCGATGATTGGGATGCAATGGAGAAGTTCTGGCAGCAGTGTATATATAATTATCTGCGTTGCGATCCAGAGGATCATTACTTTTTATTGACAGAGAGCCCATTGACTGCACCAGAGAGCCGGGAGTATATGGGTGAAATTATGTTTGAGACATTTAATGTTGCAGGACTCTATATGGCGGTGCAGCCCGTTTTAGCTCTGGCTGCTGGTTCCACAACGTCCAAGGTTGGTTTTCATGTCATTAGGCTAGGAGGATTTACGATTCTTATTCTGTTTAAAGGTCTTTGATGATTCTTAGCTATTCTGGTTATCCTTTTTATATGGCTAACTGAATGAGTTTCAAACCTGTCTTCTTCGCTTCCCAAGATATTTAGGGAAAAGGGCCCTTGTCGGCCACTGCTTGCTGACGACGGAACGCATAGTCAATTCAGGGTCCTCTTGTTGGACTTAGTTGGAAAATTATAGTGTTGTGGATTTGAAGTATACATTAAAAATGTGAATTAGATTGTTTCACGGGGTAGTGGATTTATGTTAATTTGTAAAGTTTAAATAACCTTCTTACGTGCTTATTAGATAGTGTGTTAGCTGAACTTCCCTAGAGCCGTATGCACCCATAGGTACAAATGTACAGCTATGGTATATGAATGAATATTTGTTGTTTTTATTGAAAGAATTGTACCCTGTCAAATGGGTGAATTATCGGGGAAGAGAGATTTTTCTTTTATTCTTCATAAGATAAGGTAGGCTGGATGCATGTGCAAAAATTCAAAATATTTAGGCAGAAATTTCAGCAAGCAAATGACAAATTCTAAAAACATTGGTATTGGTATATATGGAGAGAAGATGATTACCATGAAAAGGGAGGAGAGTGTTTTTGGCTACTTAGTCAAGTGTGTAGTAGGAATCAAACATTTGACATCCTTTTTTTTTTTTTTTTTTATAAAAGATTGATATCACCCATTCACACTTGTAAGAAAAATAGATGATAAAAAAATCTAAAATATACTTCTGCTCCGTATCTCTGGGTGTTAATTTTGTCACAATTTCATTGTTAGGTAAATCATGAATGATGATTTTTTCCAAGCCCTTATTTTATCAGCCCAGAAGTGTCTCCATGAGGTTCTTATATCATTAAGTCTAACTCGTGCGTTTGGATGCGATTTACTTTGCTGCATAAACAGACTGGATCTACCATGTTGCTCCATCAGCATTGTCCTGTAATCTTATTTTATCTGTGTTTTTCTCTTCTTTCTAGCATACAGGAATCAAACTAAAAAGTACCCTAAAAATATGTTGAGAGCATTATAGATGCTTTTCTTATTAAAATATGGCAAAACTTCTTAATACATAGTATCTCTGTTGGATGTGAAGATATTAAGAGGTAAACGTACCACGAATTGAAGATTTGTATTATTTTAGTGATGTCAGTCTGGAAAGGAATATACACATTGAGCCTTTTATTCTTTGGTTGCCTCCCATTTTTTTGGAACGTTGAACCCTAATTCATGTTTAAGACGTGCACGTGTTTTAGGGGTCAATCTTTTTCTGATATTGATTTTGTACTTGTATGGTATGCTTGTGGCAGGTCCTATGGGCCAAAAATGTCTGTTTATTGTCTTTTAACCATACCCCCATGTATTTATTGGAATTTGTTCAGAAGCTAGCACATTCAATCTATTGACTGCATTGCTTAATTTACACTCTATTAAAACTTTGGCGATCTTGATAGTAAGGGAAAAACATGTATTTTATCTATATATCCATTCAATACTTTTTCGTAGTGTGAGATGACCGGGGTTGTTGTGGATGTTGGTGATGGGGCTGCTCATGTTGTACCCATTGCAGAGGGCTATGTTATTGGAAGCAGCATTAAGTCTATTCCTATTGCTGGAAAAGATGTCACTCATTTTGTCCAGCAGCTCATGCAAGTAAGTTGAATGTTTTTTTTTTCGTTTGTTTTCACTTATTCAGGTTCATAATTTGTAATCTGATGTATCAAATCTTTATCTTGAAGAATTTTATTGTCGATCTTGCACGAGAGGAAACATTCTTCACTATCGAGCCTCACATTCTTTCTTTTCCTTGTAGTTTAAGTTTGCACATCTCACTACTGTTGTAATAACTCAAATGTTTTGAGAGGCATAGGTGAGGTGAAATGTGTGAAAAACACCAACAGCTTGTGCACTCTACACTGAGAGATGAAAGCTATGGTTTTACCGTGCTGTTTCATTTTTCAAGTTTAGCCTTATATCTGAAAAATGTTCAAATTTAGAATTAATGGGGTTGCCTCAACAGTAGTACTATTTTCTTCAGGCGTGCTCTGAATGGAGGTTTGCAAAGATCCTAATTAGGGATTAAAAGAACTCCGTGTCCTTTCTCATTTTATAAATTGGCTCCTTTACCACGAAAATTTATTGACTATTTGAATCAATAACATGATAATCATTTCCTTTCTTATGGACTTTTGAGGTTTATTGTTCCTTGCTGAAAATCACTGTGTTATGGAAAATATATTCCAGAAGCAGCTGATTTAGTATTGTTTCATATCTGGCATGAGGCTTGTTTTGGATTGTTCATAAATTGCTTAAATTACAGATCGATAGAAATGAGTGTTGGATAAGTGGGTAGCAGTTGTGTACCCTACGAAAATGTTTTGAAGTTTGACAAACTTAATTATAAGTTAATTTAATCGAAACATGCACATAGTGATAATTTGTAATCTTGGAGTGGGAACACAATAATTTAGTGGAAAAGTAATTGTTTTACCAGTCCTCTTTTTGGGATTGTTATTATTCTTCATGTTGTTTAATGTAGGAAAGAGGGGAGCATGTTCCACCCGAGGAGTCCTTTGAAGTAGCACGGAAAGTCAAGGAAACATATTGCTACACTTGTTCTGATATTGTCAAGGTATGTCTGTGGACTGATGACTTTAAAACGGAGGCCGTCCTCTGATCTCCAACCCGAATAAGATGCAATATTGCTTATTGACCATCGTTTACAATTTCGGATATTATATGCATTTATTTCTTTCACTTTATATTCATACACATGAATTTGCGTGCCTTAGTGGTATTGTTACAGGCTCTGAATTTTCTTATTTCCTTTGCACTTCAACTTTCTCAGAGATATGTTGAGGGTTGTTTATAACAAGTCTTTGTTCTTTGGTAATTTCAGGAGTTCAATAAGCATGACAAAGAGCCAGCAAAATATATTAAGCAATGGAGAGGTACTAAGCCGAGGACCGGGGCCCCATATTCTTGTGATATTGGCTATGAACGGTTTCTTGGACCCGAGGTTTGCTGTTTTCTTTGGCTTTAAGCTTGATTTGAAACATTATATTTCATTGTTGCATGTTCTCATTATAAAATTGCTGAAAAGTATGGTTTTTGTTAGTTTACAAGTTTAAGATATCACATACTTCGTTTGAACAATCCCCGTAAACCATTAAAGGAGCATCGGCTATAGATGAATTATTTTACATAGGTTTGTCTCAAATCCATGTAAATTCATTGTAGTCTGAGTTTACCTGTTTCTCATGCGACTGAGACTTTGATCTTAGTTTCACTTGTTCCGATGTAACACAAGGGAATAGACCAAAATTTGTTTCACAGGATTCATGTCAAAGATTTGGTAATAATTATTCCAGTAGGCGGCAAAAAATAATACTAGAAATTGTTTGTCATAAGATTCATTTTCTTGGTTTTGAATTATCATGTCAGAGAAGCAAATCGATGTTGGTGGAAACATTTATGTTGATTAACTTGGCTTGTTGTGCAGGTATTTTTCAACCCTGAGATTTACCAGAGTGATTTTACCACCCCCTTACCAGCCGTGATAGATAAATGTATCCAGTCCGCTCCAATAGATACAAGACGAGCTTTGTATAAGGTTGGCGTGAATTATTAACTGAATACACCTATTTATTTATTTCTTGAATATTAAGGGCTACGCCCGTTTATGAATATTGCAGAATATTGTATTATCTGGAGGATCAACCATGTTCAAAGACTTCCACCGGAGGTTACAACGGGAGCTGAAAAAGATTGTTGATGCTCGGATTCTTGCACATGATGCTCAGCTTGGAGAAATAAAAGTGTGTCTACATTACTATTATAAGCATTGACGGTGGAATTTTAATCAGTAACACATTATAAGTATTGACTGTAAGGGTTGCTTCTCCAGGCACAACCAGTTGAAGTGAATGTTGTCAGCCACCCTATCCAGAGATATGCAGTTTGGTGTGGAGGCTCTGTACTTGCATCAACTCCCGAGTTTTTTACGGTAGATTCTATTACTGAATTTAGAATCTCAATCTTTGGAGGAACTTTAATTGATCATATGGTGGATTTGGTCTTTGGGAGAAACATGATGTTGGCATGTCAGTGTTAGGATTTGACTTGGCTTAAATTTGGACACCGACAAGCCATCTTTCAATCAAAGGAATGATCACTTCATTACCTGTGAGAGTGGGCGAAATTATGTAGATTTTTTCCATTCTAAGAGGATACATCAATCTTTTTGTATAGATTACAAAGTCATCTAGTGTTTGCGCTCCTTTTGCATGTGAGCCCGAACTTGTTTCTTTATAAGAAAAAGAATGTGAGATCCTTTTGGATGTTTCCTTGTCAAATAGAGTCGAGCAGTCTTCAGCTATGCGTTAGACATACACTGGTCATACAAATTTACCTTTTAAGGCCATCGTTTTCATTGATTTCCCATTTCCTTGTCCCTGTGCTTAATTGTATTGCAATTTATCACGTTTTGTTTACTTATTTTACAAGTTCGACTCTTTTCTTTTGCTGCAAACAGGCTTGCCATACAAAGGCAAAGTACGAGGAATATGGAGCTAGCATATGTCGCACAAACCCTATTTTCAAAGGAATGTATTGATATGACTTCCATTCAAGTTGATGACTGGGGAGCCATTTTTCTTGTCGACTTCTGGAAAATATTGCATACGCCTTCATGTATTTTTACAGGTTAGATTGTAGGAGGCTATGTAGAATAGGTTTTCGGTCTGATCTTTGTTCATGGGAAGAGTTGGCACGTTTTGATTGAATCGTTGGCACAGTCGACTATCGACTCATCTTGGGGATTCAGCTTGGCTTAAGTCTTAAATGATGAAAATTTTCCTTTTAAGGATAGTAAAATATCTTCATTGTGGTATTAATGAAGATATTTATTATTTTGGATTAATGATTAGGGTATCAATATTCTGTTAGAAAGTTGGCTAGTTTTATACAAACTTCTACTTAAAAGCAACAGTGTGTATATTTTATCTGCACCTCAGTGATGGAACTACAATTTTTCATCGACTGCTATCAATCTTGATGTCTTTTTACAATTTCATTATTTCCTTCTTTTTTTCTTTTTCTGTATTAGGATAAACTTGAATTTATTTTCATTATGAATAAGTATGAAATGTGTATAGGATGTGAGCTCTTGGTGTATCTCTTTTTGTTGATGGCATATAGTGTATAGTCGTAAAAGTAGAATTGGCATAAATGAATGTAGTCGTAAAAGTAGAATATATATATATATATATATATATATATATATATATATATATATATATATATATATATATATATATATATATATATATATATATATATATATATATATATATATATATATATATATATATATATATATATATATATATATATATATATATATATATATATATATATATATATATATATATATATATATATATATATATATATATATATATATATATATATATATATATATATATATATATATATATATATAGTCTACCCATGGAATGCACGGGCTATGTTATTTTTTAAGGTAATATTAGTGTGTTAAATTTGGTTGATCAAAGAAATTTGAGCTGAATAAGATCAATAAAATAAACTTAATTTGACAAGGTAAATTTCAATATGAATTTACCAATAAAATATAATTTCAAAGTATCTTAAGAGTACAAAGAAATTAAGAAAATATTTTCTTCATCACCGTTAATAGAAACATCATAGAAGAGATTGTTTCCAGTTGTACATGTATTAATGTGTGTGATTCAGACGACACTGAACAAAAGGCCGGCACTATGGTAATGTCCATTTTGATTAAGACATCAAGCGATACAAGAGAAGAATAAAATTGATTTGCCCCCCAGGATACGTCCCAACTGGTAAAGATGAGGGCGCTTCAAGGCTGGCAGATCAGAGGCCGTGAGTTCGATTCTTGAAAGGCTCTTGGAAGACAGATATTCTCCTGGAAGGCAGGAGCTCTATTGGAAGGTAAGGTGCAAAGATGGGAAACGACTCGCTTGACACTTTGGCAGATTAGTTGGGGGGGTTTTTGAGCACTGGTCAGTTTGGGACACAACCTGCGGTTTAACCTGTCTGCAGCTTGAGGGGCCAAGATGTAGACTCCAGGATTTAGTCATTGTAAGGTGGATACTTGGATATCAAAAAAAAAAAAA